TGGTTAAGAGCACTGGCTGCTTTTCCAGGGGTCCTGAGTTCAATTACTAGCAACCACATGCTCACAACCATCTAGAATGGGATCTGATGCCCTCTTCTGGTGTGCAGGCAAACATGCAACCAGAACCCTGTATACATAATAAATAAATCAAAAAAATGTTGTTATTGAAGGCATAAGTGTTATAAAGAGCACAGTAGCCAGGTGGTGGTTGGCGCATGCCTTTAATCCCAGCACTTGGGAGGCAGAGGCAGGCGGATCTCTGAGTTTGAGGCCAGCCTGGTCTACAGAGTGAGTTCCAGGACAGGCTACATAGAAACCCTGTCTCAAAAGAAAAAAAGAGCACAGTAAGGACTCTGCAAATGTGGCCCGGTGTTAGAGTACTTACTCCACATGCACAAGGCCTTGGCTTAGATCCCCAGCACAGAAGAAAACTAATTCATTTTAAATGTAGCTTCATAAGTCATAATGGGTTCTCCTTCTGCTCTCCCTCACCTGCCAACTTCACTTTGGACCTTACACTGTGCCAGCAACGCCATGTTTGTTTTCACAAGTGGGCTGTGCATGCCCCGGCTGGCCTGTGCCTGCAGACCACCTGTTCTTACTGCTTCCCTTGCCTTTTCCTTCTTATCCGTTCATTAGACCTCCTGGTCTATCACTGGTGGTTTACCTGATGTCTCAGTTAAGGTTTCTATGGCTGTGATAAAACACCATGACCAAAAGCAAATTGGGGTGGGGGGGGAGCGTTTATTTCATCTTACACTTCCATATCACAGCCAATCATTAAGAAAGTCAGGACAGGAATTCAAAGGCGGGAATCTGGAGGTAGGGATTGAATCAAAAGCCGTGGAGGAAAGCTGCTTACTGGTTTGCTCCCCATGGCTTGCTCAGACTGCTTTCTTAGATGACTCAGGACCACTGCCCAGGAGGTGGCACTGCTTGTCAGGGGCTGGGCTCATCCACGTCAATCATCAATCAAAAAAAATGTCCCCACAGGTTTGCCTGCAGGCTCATCTTTTGGAGGCATTTTCTCAATTGTGGTTCCTTCCTCTCAGATGATTCCTTAGCTTCTGCCAAGTTGACAAAAAAATAGCCAACACATACTAAGGCATTTTCAAATTGTTATTTTTATTTTATCCAGTATTACTGTAGGAGAGAAGAGACCGTGCCACAATACATGTGTGGGAGAGGCCAGAAGACAACTTTGTGGAGTCAATTCTTCTCTCTCTCTCTCTCTCTCTCTCTCTCTCTCTCTCTCTCTCTCTCTCTCTCTCTCTCTCTCTCGTTCCAGGAATGAAATTCAGGTATCCATGCTTCTGCAGCAAGCACCCACCTTCTGAGCCATCTCACTGACCCTACTGAGACATCTACTAAGAGACTGATCTATCACATGGCTTCTCTGCAGAGTGAATGTGCAGTCGAACATGTCTTTGCTAGCCTATATTTACCTAGTGTGTTGCTTTACTACTTTTTATAAAATATGTCAGGCACTTCAGAGGATCTAGAAAGATATTGTCAAATACACACATATACACACACAGAGGGGAGGAATAAATGCACACATAAGGTTGAGATATTTTAAAAAACAAGTCTTCCCCACATGACCAATCTGACTCCTTTTCTGCTCAGCCCTCCAACCTACAGAACAAACAACGACAGTGTCCCTCCTGAGGTACCAGAGGCAGCCTAAACAACTCCATTTCAAAGTCAGTTCCAGAAGACATGCCTCCAGCTTTTTAAAAGACGACTGAGCGTACATGTGTGATTTCCCACCTCCACTTTACCCTACATGGGCAATCCCTACAGCTAGATGCCTAGATTTAGTCTAAGTTTTAGCTGCAGTGGGTCTCAACCTTCCTAATACTCTGACCCTTTAAAACAGTTTCTCATGTTGTGGTTGTGGTGGCCCCCAAACATAAAATTATTTTGTTACTACTTCATTACTGTAATTTTGCTACTGTTATGAATCATCATGTAAATGTCTGATATTCAGTATATCTGATATGTGACTCCTGTAGGGTCACAACCCACAGGTTGAGAACAGCTGGTTTTAAAGGTTGGGGAAAGGCTGAGAGCAGCTTTCTCATACTATATTCACAGACCTTCTACAGTGGATGGGTAAGTTTCACAGCATTTCCAACTGGCCACCAAGTGGACACACCAAGTGATCCCAATGCTGGAGAGATGGAGGAAGCAGAGGCAGGAAGATCTGCGGGACCCAGCATAGCTTACTTGGTGAGCTACAGGTACCAATGAGAGGCCCTGTCTCAAAGCTGCAAGGAACCTGAGGAATGACATCCAAAACTGACCTGTGATTTTTCACATTACATGTACACACACATGCTGGAATACCCATGTGCGCGCACGTGCACACACACACACACACACACACACACACACACACACACACACACACAAATTCAAAAGACTAGTCAGTTCTCGCTGGGCGGTGGTGGCGCATGCCTTTAATCCCAGCACTCGGGAGGCAGAGCCAGATTGATCTCTGTGAGTCTGAGGCCAGCCTGGACTACAGAGTGAGATCCAGGACAGGCACCAAAACTACACAACTACACAGAGAAACCCTGTCTCGAAAAACTGAAAAAAAAAAAAGTCAATTCTCTCTAATTTGGTCTATAGATCAGTGACACCCCTTCCACATAAAAGAGAACAAGGTTGGTTTTGTTTGTTCTTAATGGAGCTAGGAAAACTTATCTAAAATTATGTGGGAAATGAAAGTTCAAGAACCCACAGCATACCTATGAGGGAAAACACGGTGTGGGACTTGCTCTATCAGGTACTGAAAGTTTGCTAAGGCTGAGGTGATGAAAATTGTGGTTTGGAAGCAGGAATGTAGGAAAAATTGCCGGTGGAACAAGCAGGATCAAACTCAAGAACTTTGGGAAACTTCTACTTTGATTTGATCATTCCATACTGCATACATGTGTCAAATGATCACACGGCATCCCACAGATGTGTACGATTGTTCCAGCAAGATCTTTCTTGACATAAAGCTGACAGGGAGATGACAGATGACACAGCTGTAAAGGGAGAGCACATACTTCTTAATATATTCTATTGAGACATCAATTTCCGTAAGAAAAAAAAAGTAATAGGATGCATGTTTGATTTGAGGTACAAAATTGCAGGTAAGCAAAACTAAAATTTAAAAAGAACCTTATAATTCTATGGAACTTGTAAAGGAATGATTTTTGTCATTCAAAAGCAATGATGAATTTTAAAAAAGAAAAAGCGAACCCAGAAAGTTACAGAGATGAAAAGCTAGCATAAAAGTCAGCTTCTGAAGTCAGCTCTAGCGCTTGCTCTGCGTTAAGTCCTGGGTTTGCATGATAGTCCTGGCTATCTACAGTAAGAGTGGTTCTCATAGCAACAATGAATAAATAAGGAGTGAATTTTAGAATATTATAGTGTTGTACTTTTTTTGTTATTGCAATGCTTAAACCTAAACAAAACTATTATGTATTGCCATGTCAAAGACCATGTCTGTGTGTTTATCAAAACTCAGAAAACGTAAATCGGTGTTTGGTTTACTCCTATAATCCCAGCATTGAGGAAGACAAGGCAGGAAGATTACCATGCCTTTGAAGCCAGCCTGGGTCAGAGTGAGACCCTGTACCAGAAAACAAAGAATCAAACAAAATCATCAGGAAACGGGAGATGGATGAGCGACACAAATTCAGAACAGTTTCCGTACACCCCTGAGTGAGGAAGCGCCGGCGAAGACGGCCGGGTCGGGTCGGGTGATGGAGACGGGGGTACGGTTCGGACACACCTTCCTCCAGCCGTTCAGTGCAGAAACAGCGGGAACGCTGCCCGGGGTAGAGGCCATGTGTCCATCATGAGAGTGCCCCGCCCACCGTGTCCCTGCGGTTGGCTACCGTGTGGGAACACGCATGCGCCTGGAGAGCAACACCCCCCATGGGGCGGGGCTAGCGTGTCGGCGGCGCGCGTGCCCACAGCGTCCAGCCAATCAGCGCGGAGCGCGGTCGAGGCCGCGCTGGGTTTTCTCCCGCGCAAAGGCGACGCTCCCTCAGAGGCGTCGAGGCTGCGGAGAAGTAAGGGGTGGCGCGTGGGGCCGCGGGCGGAGCCTGTGGCGGCGGCTCGGCCCGGGGCAGGGCCGCGGGGAGAGGGAGGAGCCCGGCCCCGGGGCAGGGCCGCGGGGGAGAGGGAGGAGCCCGGCGCCGGGCCGCCCTCCAGTGCCCGGGGAGGAGACGCCGCCGCCACGTGGGCCGAGACGGACACGCCGGGCCTCCTGAGGGCAGGGCGGGTCGCCAACCGTGGCCCGGGGGGCGGGCCTGAGACTGGACAGCTCCGGGACGGCGTGGGGCTGAGGGGGCTGAGGGCCGGGGGGTCGGGGGCCGAGGGCCGGGGGTCGGGGGTCGGGGGCCGAGGGCCGAGGGCCGGGGGCCGAGGGCCGGGGGGCCGGGGGCCGAGGGCCGTGGGGGTCGGGGGCCGAGGGCCGTGGGGGTCGGGGGCCGAGGGCTGGGGGTCGGGGGCCGAGGGCCGTGGGGGTCGGGGGGCCGAGGGCTGGGGGTCGGGGGCCGAGGGCCGTGGGGGTCGGGGGCCGAGGGCTGGGGGTCGGGGGCCGAGGGCCGTGGGGGTCGGGGGCCGAGGGCCGTGGGGGTCGGGGGCCGAGGGCCGGGGGTCGGGGGCCGGGGGCTGAGGGCCCGGGGGCCGGGGGCTGAGGGCCCGGGGGCCGGGGGCTGAGGGCCCGGGGGCCGGGGGCTGAGGGCCGGGGGTCGGGGCCTGTGGACCCTGGGCCTGGGGTCAGGGAGTTAGGAGGTGGGGTCAAGAGAGTTAGTCGGCAGAGCCTAGGAAATTAGTAGGCCAGGGCTAAGGCGATGAGGAGGCGGGGCCTGGGGAGTTAGGGGTCATGGCTGAGGCGATGAGGAGGCGGGGCCTGGGGAGTTAGGGGTCATGGCTAAAGGGTGTTGGGTTCAGGGCTGAGGAGGGAAGTAGTTGTGGGACCTAGGGAGTTAGGGTCAGGCTGAGGGAATTAAAGGTCAGGGCGTAGGGAATTTGGGATTGGGATAGAGAAATCTGATTTAGGGGCCAGGCACTGAGAAAATGAGGAGTTTGGGCATGGAATTGTGAGCTAGGGTGTAGGGAGTAGGTAGGGGTTGGGCACCGAAGAAATTTGAGATCAGGGCTGAGGGCCTAGAAAATTAATTGTTGGGTACTAAGAAAATCATCAGTTGGTGCTGAGGCAGTTCTGAGTTGAGGTGAGGGAATTGGGGCTAAGGGAATGAAGGATTGTGGGTGATGGTTTGGGTCATGAGGGAATTAGAGGGTGATGGATTAGGTATGCTGGGGCTGAGGGCATTCGGCATTGGGGTGAGGGAGGGAATAGAGCATTCGTTAGAGGGGTTAGGAGCTGAGAGAAACTGGGTGAGAGGATGAGGGAATGAAGGGTTGGAGAGAGGTTGGGACTTAGAGGAGTAGGTGTGAGGTAAGGGAGTAGGGGCTGGCGCTTGAGAATAAGGCGTTCAGGGCTAGGTTGTTGGAGGCTGAGGGAACTTGTGATTGGGCTAGAGAATTAGTGATTGGCCCTGGGGAATTGGGGGTGGGAGCCAAATTAATTAGGAATCGTGAGTGAGGGGATTAAGGTTTGTTGGGTTTGAGAGAATTAAAATTGAGTTGGGGAATGACAGAATTATTGGTTGGTGTTGAGCAAATTAAAGATTGGTGGTGTGGTAGTTAAGGGGAAGTTTAAGGGAAGTAGTGTTTGGGAACTGAGGGACTTAGGGGTTATATATGAGAGAATTGGGGTTTGGGATGAGAAAGTTAGGGCTTGTGGGTGAGGCCAACTAGGGAGTTGGGAGCTGAGAAAGTTGGGTGTTGTGTGGGTTGAGGAAATTAGGAGTTGGAGGCTGAGAGAATGTGTCTTTGGGGGGATTAGGGATTGGGTTTGAGGAAATGAGTTCTGATTGAGAGACTTGGGGCTACAGGCACTAGAGAGCTTCAGGAATTGGGGCTGGGGAGTTCAGTGAAAGGGAATGTAGTGTGAGAGAAGGAAAGACTTGGAGCAGGGGTAATGAGAGCTGAATGGATGGAAGACTGAGGCTTGAGTGTTTGAGGAGTTGAGAATAGATAGATAATGATGGGCTGTATGGGTGTGACTGAGGGGCTAGTGAGACTGTAGGTCTCTGGAATGAGGGCCTGGAAGGAATAGAGGACTAGGGAGTAATAATGGGCTGAGGGGACTGATGGTTAAAGGAATAGGGGCTGAAAGAATAGGACTGAGAGCATGAGAACAAGGATTGGGGAGTTGGTGGACTGGAGGGGCTGGGAGCTAATTAAGGCACTGAGGGGGAAATGAGAAGAGGGGCAGGGACCTATGGGTGTTCAATGTGCTTATTCTGCCCACTCTGCAAGACCCCTTTCATTTACTTTAATATGCATACTATGGAAGTTTTATAGGTGTATTACTTTCCCAAGGTCTAGAAGATTTTCTCTAAAGTAGGCTCTGAAGTACTGCAATGCCTGGTGTGTGACACTTTTTTTTTTTTTTGTTTAGACAGAGTCTCGGTGCTGAAACTCCTTATATAACCACAGTGCATTTTATGCCTGTGTTTGTGCAGTGCCGAAGATGGAACTCAAGGCCCCTTGTATAGGCACTATATAACTGAGCTACATTCCCAGTCCTGTAGAGCTATATATTCTAGATTTATATTGCTACACACCAATTTTTTGGATTGCTTGTGATTTATGCTGTTGGTAACCATGATTTTTGAGATGCAAACTTAACCAAAAACTGGCAGATAGGGCCAAAATTCAGATCTAGTGGCTGCATGCAAACAAACATTTGGAGTCAAATGTTCAAGCTATCACTTGAACACTGGTGTTTTTCTTCTTTTAAAATAGATAAATAATAAACTATTAACTTTTGGTACAATAAAAAAAGGAAATCAGGCTGGCAAGATGGCCCAGTTAGTAAAGGTGCTTGCTTTCAGGCCTGACTTGAGTCTGATCCTGAGGACCCAATTGGTAGAAGAGAATTGACTCCTTCAAAGTTGACTCTGCCCTCCACATGTTCCTCCCCCCAAATAAATAAAGTTTACTTAAATGATGTCTTTGAATTCAGACAGTTTGAGAGATTGGGGGGGGGGGGGTTGCTGTTTTTTCTTTTCTAAACAAGGAAACTAAAGATGGTGCCTGCTGGAAAAAAGCTTTCTGGGAAATCTGGGAAGCCATCATTGGTGGATCAGCCTAAAGCCTTTGACTTTGAGAAAGAAGATAAAGATCTGACTGGTTCAGAGGAGGATGTTGCTGATGGTAAATATCTCTAATGTTGGGTATTAACAGTGTCCTAGAGTTCATTTGTTTTGAACCCGCTACACTTAAAACTGAATAAAATAAGCAGTTTCACATACTTTCTCATCAGATCTTCATATCTCTGTATCCCTTATCTTTGCAGTGCCAATAACTTGATAAATATAGTGCATGACTCGGTCTGACCTGAAAATTTGCTTCTATAAAATGGGTCGTGAATTGTGATGTGATTTCATTTTTCAGAGAAAATAGTACATTTACATATCTGCTTTTAAAATTTGTTACAAAACCCCGAAAGAACTGAAAATAGACTCCATTAAAACTTACCAAAATAGCATACTTAGTTTCAAATTTTATTTTGTTAATACAGAAAAGACTCCAGTAATTGAAAAACATGGAAAGAAAAGATCTGGAGGAATAATAGTTGAAGATGTGGGGTAAGATGTTAAATATGAGGGTGAGCAAGTGCGCACACACACTAAGCACTTTATGTGGGTGTTGAGATACGTCAGGTATTCATGCTTGCTGAAAGCATTTAACTAACTGGCTATTTCTCAAGCCCCAAAGATGTTTTTTTTTGTTCAATAAATTACTTTAGAAAAATTTACTTCAGTTTATCTAGCAAGTAGTGATATAAAATACTTGATATGTGGTATTGTGAATCTCTAATTAAAAGGTTTGTTTTTTTTTTTAATTTTTGATGGTGCTAGGGATCAAACCTAGGGCCTTATGCACATTGGGCAAATGTTCTGTCACTGAATTACATTCCTGGTCTTAATTTTTTAAATGTAATTTTTCACAGAGGTGAAGTGCAGAATATGCTGGAAAAATTTGGAGGTATGTTTTTGGGAGATAATTTAAAGAACATTGTTTAAAACTCTATAGTGTGAATATTGTTTAATGCCTTGTTCTCATTTATAGGGTTATGCATAAACATGATTTAGCATCATAGATTTTTCTTTTTTGGGTTTTGTTTGGTTGGTTGGTTGGGTTTTTTTTTGGTTTTTCGAGACAGGGTTTCTCTGTGTAGCTTTGTACCTTTCCTGGAACTCGCTTTGTAGACCAGGCTGGCCTCAAACTCACAGAGATCCACCTGCCTCTGCCTCCCAAGAGCTAGGAGATTTTTTTTCTTAATCCTTTTTCATGATATGAAAAGTTAATGTACTTTTAAGAATTTTAGAAAAATAGAGAGGAAAAGTTTTTTCTACTTTGTTATATTCACAAAGTATGTCAGTTTTTCATTCACTTACTTTTTAGGACTCTTCTTGTGCTCTTTCCTTTATGGGGAAGGATATAAATTAAAGCATCATAAGAGAACTGTTATTTTATAGTAATAAATTATGTAACTGAAAGTAAACGACAACTTTTCCAGCCATTAAGAGATTTATAATCAGAGCCAAAGACCTTAAGTTTTAAATGTTTTTGTATGAGTTTAATTAGAAGACAGCACTCTGCTTATTTGTTTCTCTTGAGACAGGGTCAGGCTGGCTGCAACTTGCTAGTTAGTCCAGGCTTCCCTAAACTGGGCACCGCTTTAGCCTTGTGGGTGCTGGGGTTACAGGTATCAGTCACCTTGCCTGGTTTAAGAGAATACACTTTTTTTTTTTTTTTTTTTTTTTTTTTTTTTACATTTCGGGGAGAGAGGTGGGCAGCATGTCATGATGCATGTGTGGAGGGCAGATGACATCTTGCTAGAGTCTCTTACCTCCTACCATATGGATGGATCCTGGGAATCATACTCAAGTTGTCAGACTTGGCTGCAAGCACCTTTACTTGTTGAGCCATCTCACCAGCCCCAAAATACTCCTTTTAAAAAAATGTTTCCTATAAGGATTATTCATTGTTAAATCTTTTTTTTTAATCTTTAATAAATTGCCCTATCTGGTAGTAGCAAAATGCTTATTTTCTGGTTTTTCAAGACAGGGTTTCTTTCTCTGTGTAACCCTGGTTGTCTTGGAACTCACTCTGTAGACCAAGCTGGCCTCGAACTCACAGAGATCTATCTGCCTCTGCCCCCCAAGTGTTGGGATTAAAGGAGTGTGCCACCACACCTGGCAAATGCTTGTTTTATAAACTTACTATAAATGCTGGAAATGCAAATAAATATTATAGTTACACCATAGTTACCAAAGGTAACTTTTATGGTAAAAAGGTAGATACATAGTAAACATTATTTGAGGTATTAAGTGTTTTATGAACTGCCATACTTATTAGTGATAAAAATGCCCTATAAAAACTACTGTGAACTGGGCTTGATGGCACACACCCAGCTCTTGGAAAGCAGAGGCAGGTGGATCTCTGAATTCAATACCAGCATGGTCTACATGGTGAGTTCCAGGCCAGCCAGGGCTATGCCATGAAACCCCATCTCAACAAAACAAAACAAAACAAAACCCAGTGCACAAAAAAAATCGTCCATTAAAGTATTAAAAAGTATTCCAAGATGCATTTATCTAAATAATACACTAAGACTGCTTTTTTAAAAATATGTTTAATGGTATTGACTTATTTTACAATGTGATCCTTTGGGATTCTTTAATTTACTATTTCTGATACAGTCCTAACAATTGTACTCTAAGTATGGCCTATCAAATGGAGAATGTACTATAAATTTAGAAATATTTAGCCTTTACTAGTGTTTATTCATAAGTCTGGCCTTGACCTTTCTTTTTACTCATTCCTTATCATCCGTAAATTTTAAATTTACCTTCAGTTATAAAAATCAGAATTGAGATAAAGTTGGATGTTTTATATATTTCTTATTCTAAAACATTTAAGACCAAAAATGTTTGAGAATTCAGCCATTTTTGGTCTCATAATGTTTGCATAGACTTTACTGGCTTAGCTTCCCTAGTCTGAAAATCCAAAATCCTAAGTGTTCTAAAGCACGTTTTTCAAAAGAAAATGTTGGTGCTAGTTTTAAAATTAAAATGTTTTAATTTAAATTTTATGATTATGTGTATTTGAGTGTGATGTGTGTGTGGTATATATGTTCTATGGCACCCATGTGCAGCTCAGATCAGAGGACACTTGGGAGTTGATTCTCCTTTTCCACTATGGGAGATGACATCTCTCAGTTTTGTCCCTTCCACTGTGGATTCCCAGGATCAAACTTAGGTTGTCGGGCAAGTGTTTGTTTTTGTTTTTTGTTTTCTTTGTTTGAGACAAGGGGTCTAGAACTCACTATGTAGACCAGGCTGGCCTACAACTCAAAGAGACCACCTGCAGGGCTCTGCCTTCCAAGTACTGGGATTAAAGGCATGTGCCACCATATTGTTGAATTAACCCATACTTACATTTAATTTACTATATGGAACAAAAACAAAATTTTCTTCAACATTAATTTCAGTTTTATTTTCAATATAGCTGACATCAACAAAGCTCTTCTTGCCAAAAGAAAAAGAATAGAAATGTATACTAAAGCTTCTTTCAAAGCCAGTAACCAGAAAATTGAGCAAATTTGGAAAACACAACAAGAGGAAATGTAAGGTTTTAAAAGAGCTACATCTTTATTAATTCTTAGTATGTCCTGGTGCAAATCATGTATGGAAAATAGCATCATTTGCTTATTTAGTGAAAATGCTTGGCTTTTTTTTTTCTAATCAAGTAGTCCTATAACCTCATGTCTTCAAAGAATTAAGACTTTTCTTAGAAATCAGTGAATATTATTTCTCTTTTTAAATGGTTATTAAATTATATCCATTATGGAAATAACTTGAATAAAAGATGTAGATGTTGTAGAAACTGTTATTGTGTGGAAAATGTAGAAAAATTCAGTTTTTATATTGTAAATAATTTAAACATTTTAACCAATTTGACTGTTTCTTCATACTAAATCTTTGCCATGCCAGAATGGGGGGAGGGGCAACCTAAGTGAAATTATTTATTTATTTATTTATTTATTTATTTGGAGATAGGTTTCCCTGAGTAGCTTTGCGCCTTTCCTGGAACTCACTCTGTAGCCCAGGCTGGCCTCGAACTCACAGAGATCCACCTGCCTCTGCCTCTGCCTCCCAAGTGCTGGGATCAAAGGTGTGCACCACTGCACCTGGCAGAAATAATTTAATCTCTTTATCAGAACTATTAGATTCAGTGGGAAAAATGAAAAATTCCTTGGAGATTAAAAGTAAATTTTTCTGGAAAACATAAAACTTCCTTAGTTTTCAAGAGCTAAAGCATGTGAGAAGACATCTGTTAGGGAAAAAAAAATACTGAAATCAACCTAAATTTTATTTTTAATTTTCTTTTCAAAATATTTAAACTATTGTTTCCTTTTTCTAGCATAAAATATGTGAATTGAATTTGTTTTGAATGGTTTTTTTCACACTGGTATGAAATTTGACAGGATTCATTGTTTTGTTTTGTTTTTTTTACAGACAGAAGCTTAACAGTGAATATTCTCAGCAATTTTTGAGTGTGTTGCAGCAGTGGGAACTGGATATGCAGAAATTTGAGGAACAAGGAGAAAAACTAACTGTTAGTATTACAACTGACTTTATAATTAGTCTATTATAATTAAACCTCAAGTAGAAATGAGACCCTGGTCATATTTTATATCCATAGAACTAAGACAAGTTATATTACCCATTGTTGGCTACATGTTTTAATATTGCCAAATCATAAACCACAGAAGTACTGGTGCATACAATATTCCTAAAAGCATTGGTCTTAATAGCTGATATCCTTGCATTTTTAAGTAAAAGAAACTTGTCAATGGATAAAAGGAGAATTACTGGATTTGGGGGGTAAGTTAGCTTTAGACAGTTGAATTGGGGTGGGGAAGGGTTGCTTATTTTAGTGTCATCTGGGCTCTGCTGCTAAGCCTCCATGAACTTTTAATCTAGTAAGTTAATTCTCCCAGGCCTAGACCTACTACAAATTTAGTGACTGCATAGACTGAGACAATCTTTCTGAATATCCTTGCAGAAAATTTATGTGGTGGAACATCATTAATTTAGTTTGGATCATTTGTTTATCCCTAACCAGTGTTTACTTGTCCCACTCCCCCCACCCCCCACCCCGCGCCCCATGAGTGCTGGGGAGTGAATCTAGATGCTTTGTGCAGCTTACAAAAACATGCTATCACTGAGCTATAACCCCCATGCAAGAATATGGTTTATGAATATCCAGGTTGTATTATTTCTCTATCTCCACTGGTGATGGAAGGCAATCCCAGTCATTCTTTTGTTTTGTTTTGTTTTTCTGAAACAGGGTCTCACTGTGTAGTCCTGGCTGGCCTTTAATTCACAGAGCTCCACCTGCCTCTGCTTCTCAAATACTGGGATTAAAGGTGTGACAACCATGACCAGCTATTTCACTTTTTAAAGATTAAGCGAAACAGCATGTTGATGTGCTGACAGGAATCTAGAGGAAGAAATTTATTTATTTCTGGTATTGCAGATTGAACCTAGGCCCTCAACTGTCCTACCACTACACTATATGTTCTGTCCTCTTTTTCACCTTTCATTTTGAGACAAGATCTCACCAAGATACGCAGACTATTTTTGTACGCTATAGCCTATGTAGGACTTCAATTTGTGCCCTCCTGCCTTGAAAGAAGCTAGGGTTATAGGCCTGCACCACCAGGTCTGGCTACAGAGAGAAATTCAATAGTAACAGAAAGGGGAAAATTGCTTAATTCTTGAGAATGGAAAACACATGAAGGTGGACTAAGTACAGTCATCCCTAGAAACAAGAAATAGAGTATATGAGTACAAGCAGATATAGATAGATAGGTGGTAAATACAAATGGTGATGAAAAACTGTTCTCTTTGGATTCTGTTTTATTTAGTAAGGTCATCAGATAGTGAAAAGTAATACCACCATGTTAGAGTAATTACAGTTGAATTTTACAAGATAGGGATTTATCCAAGTAAATGTGACTAAGAAGGTGACAAGGTGTATATGCAAAGGAGTATTATACAACTTAATCTGGGAAATACAGTAAAAGGAAGAATGCAATTTTAGTCCTTGAACTAAGATTGAGCTATAGTACTAAAAAGTAAGCCAGAGTAGTAGGCAGGCAGTGGTTGACTATACAATATGCTGGAGAAACCATATGTATAATTAGAGCCTGGATTATAGAAACCTATTTGGAGCCAAATTCTGCTTGAACATAGCTGTGAAACAAATAATTTACTGTTATGTTTCAGTTTCCTCAGCTTTAAATGTAACTGATGATGAATACCTATGCCAAATAGTTGTAGAGCACTGAGTTCATATATATATAGGTGTGTGTGGGGGGTATGTACTTAAGGGGCTCAAAATAGATAATATAGTACACAATTAATATATTTTGTCACTACAATACTATAGAAAGGTTACACCATTTATAATGGCAAAATCTAGAATATAAGAATGTAAGTGAATGGATTAAGGAGACTAGAAGACAAAGCCATTGGTGGAGAATAGATTAAGGAACTAAAAGAACATTTAGAAATCATCTGTGTAAGACATTGAAATTACTAAAAATAAGATAGTCTTGGGGCTGGGGATGTGTATCAGTTGGTAGACTCTAGCATGCACAGAGCCATGTGTTTGATCCGCAGTACTTGATAAACCAGGTGTGGTTTTCACTTTGCACTCTGATGACCTTACTCACTAAATAAAACAAAACATGCTTATAATCCCAGCATTTGTGAGGCAGAGGGACCCAGCAGTACAAGGCCATTTTTGACTACATAGTAAATTTGAGGCCAACTTGAACCCTGCCTCAAAACCTTGAACACTGAGATTTCCTATTCAATCTTTCATGGTGGTATATGCCTGTAATCCCAGCGACTTTGGAGGCTGAGGTAGGAGAGTCACAAGTTCCAAGTCAGGCTGTGCAACATAGTGAAACCTAGTCTCAAAAAGGGGCTGAAGCAATGGCTCAGAGGTAAAGAGTTGTTACTGCTCTTGCAGACTAAAAGGGTTTCATTCTCTGCCATCAGATGGTAGCTCATAATTGCCTGTAACTCCAGTTTCAGGGGGTCCAATACCCACACTATACTCAGGCACACAAAATAGTTAGAAATATTTATCCTCATTGACTGATAGGATTATTATAGTGCATTTTAGTGGTAAAAAGTACTTAAACCTAGTTATAAAAGTTGTTAAAATACTAAAGATATTAACCTTAAACTGTGCCTTTAAGTTTAATATGGAAGTATTTTTTGCTAAATTTAAAAATAAGGCTCTGATAGAGCTCAGAGCTAAGTGTTTGCCTAGCATGCATGAAGCCCACAACAGCAAAAACACTTACCAAATCATTATTACAGGCTTTTTTAAAAATGTGTTTACAGAATCTTTTTCGTCAACAACAGAAGCTTTTTCAGCAGTCTAGAATTGTTCAGAGCCAGAGACTGAAAGCAATCAAACAGCTACATGAGCAGTTCATAAAGGTGAGTTACACATGGTAACATGTTTTTGTTGTGTGTCTTTTTTTGTGTTTGTTTGAGACAGGGCTCACTTTATAGCCTGGCTAGCCTGAAACTTGCTATATAGACTAGGCTAGCTTCTAACTCACAGAGGTCCTCTTGCCTTTCTTCCCAAGTGCTGGGATTAAAAGAGTGCACCACGAAGCCCTGCTCTCCATGTCCTTTTTAATTTTATATTGTTACTATTATATTGTTCTAGAATTCTTACCTCTGCAGTGGTTCATTATGTCTTTAATTTCTGCTATTACATTTGTTTATTCGCTGCTGGTACTATTCACTCTTACAACCCTTAGTCTATTAAAACTCTCAACTGATTTCTCCTTCCTTTATTCCCTTCTTTGAGTCTGCCATATATCTTTCTAAAACCTCCTTCCTGAAAATGTGCCTATAGTCTCTTGTTCTAAATTTTTAGGTATTTAAGATTTCCCTTGAAATGATTCAAGCTTCACAAATTATACATGTCTATTACTCCAAACTCTCTACATAATTGCTTTCTCTGAATCCATAGACTTACGTATTTCCATGCATCAGTTATACTATTGCTATAGAATATTTTAAGTTCCCTTTTAATTAATGAAATAATGTACCTTCTGTCACTAAGTAGGAATATTTGTGCATTCCACTGTAAAGCTATAGGAGTTGCATTTCCATTCTTGTTTTTATAACTTATAAAGTTACATTATTCTTGTTTACATAATTTTTCTGATTGAAACTAGCATGTATTGCTTTTTTTTTTTTTTAGTTTCTACACAGAATGTAGTACATTTTACATATTAGGCAACTATTTGTTGAATGAATATTAAAAATTTTTAAACTTTTTATCTAGGTGTTATTGCACATTCCTCTAATTCCAGTAGAGGAGAGCCTGAGGCAGGATTAGAGAGTTTGAGGTGAGGCTTGCCTATATGATGAGATCCTGTCTAGAAAAACAAAATAGTAAGGCAGAGTTCAATCTCCAGGACCCACATGGCAGAAGGAGAGAACCCAGTACCCACAAGTTGTCCTCTACATATAGTGGCTCATATATGTATGACACACACACACACACACACACACACACACACACACACACACTGAATGGATGGAAATGTAATAAACAATTCTTAAAATAATCTAATAATTTTTTATAACTTCAGAAATGACTTCATACTACAGATATTTTATTCACTTTTGTGAGTTCCAGTCACATTGAGTCTTAGTCACAATAAGTAGATTATACCCAGATGTTTTAAGAAACTTAACAGAAATTTTCAAAATGGTCTTATTTCAAAATGGTCTGTTTCTACTGTTTCTATTCCTGGACTTTGTTTTCTTCTTTTGAGACAGGGTCCTATGTTGCCCAGACTATCCTCAAATTCTCAGTTTTCCCATCTTGTGTAGCTCCCTCCCCCATTTTTCTTTTTATCACCTTGACCTTAATATTTCATTAAACTATTGTTTAGGGCCAAGATGCTACTATTGTACTTTATATAACTGCAGTTGATTTATGTGTGATATATTTTACTTGTTTATAGTGGGAAACTTGGTCTATAGGAGTTAATTAGACTGCTGGGGTAAATAATGAGCATTATTTGAATAATTAAAAGGTTTTTAACTTTTGAAAATTTTACAATTTTGAACCTGTGATTAAAAGTTACAGTTTATAACCAAAGTGGCCTTTCTGTGTTTTAGAGTTTGGAGGATGTGGAGAAAAATAATGATAATCTATTTACTGGCACACAAAGTGAACTTAAAAAAGAAATGGCTATGTTGCAAAAGAAAGTTATGATGGAGACTGTAAGTTCTATTTTAAATTGTAAAAATATGGATTAATGGAGGCACTGAAATGTTTTATTTGCTGAAATTTTTATAGCATTTAACTAAAAATTAAACGTTTCATATCTCCTTTCATGAAACAGCAGCAGCAAGAGATGGCAAATGTTCGAAAGTCTCTTCAGTCCATGTTATTCTGATGAGTCTTTGAAGAAAGAACTTGAACCTATGTAATATGATACAATTAAAACATTAGCTATGACATGCCTTTAGAAATTATAGTTTAAACTATAACATCCGTAATCATTAGCTCGTTTAAGTGGAAGACTTTTGTTCCTGTTAACCTCTAAATAAACCTAAACAGCTGTGTAAGTAGCAGTTATTTCAATGTCCACTACTGTCACAATAAAAATGATTTAAATTTAACGTTGGTTTCAGTGTATCTCTTAACAGTTCTAAGGTACAAAATTCCAAGAATGGATGGTTGTTTTGTTTCTAAGAAACGGTCTAACCCTCTTGCCCAGATTAGTCTCAAACTTTTGGGAGTAAGTGATCCTTATACCTCAGCCTCTCAAGTAGCAGGAACAAGTGCATGCCACTACTCCTGGCTTACAATGGTCTCCTTTAAGGAAAAAAACCCACAGAATCTGTTTTATGTGTACATCTTTATGTTTACTAAAACAACAGATCACCAATTCTAAAAAACAAATCTATACAGTTTATTAAAAAGAACTTTAGTGTGTCTTGGAATAAATTATAAATGCTAAAATCATTAATACACCTGAAAATATAAGTATTAGTTTTTAATACATATATTTATGAATATTTCATAATATTTCAAGGTCAACAAGATACCATTTAATTGGGCTGGTCTGTACTTAAATGACACATGCCCTTAGTAATGATTAAGAGCATTATCACAAACACAGCTAAAGTTATTTATGGTCTAAGTACTTCATATCTGTTTTCATATATGAATTACCTAGTTGCCTTTTCCATTGTAACACTCAGTAAATATACTGAAGCTTGATTTCACATTCATTTCCAAACTTCAACTTTTTAACTTTTAAAATAGGCATTTATACAGAGAAACTTAAACTCAATTTCATACATGTTGAATTGCTTCAACATTTCTTTGAAGTCAGTTAAACTTACTAGTTTTGCTGAAACTGCCTTCAATGAATCATTCAGAACAATAAAACATCCCATTTGAAGGAAAGCAACAATCTATTTTTGTTCATAACCCACCCTTTTAAACAGTGTATATAACACTATCTTTTTATCTTCTAGGAAGCAATTACCCTTCTACCATTAGCTTTGACATTAAAAGGACAGTTCAATTCTTTACAAATACTTTTTTGGGGGGTAGGCACACAGTGTTGTTAGTGCATCAAGCCAGGGCCTCACCCTTGCTAAGCATTCATTCTTCCACTTAGCTATGTCTGCAACATGGAATATAAACCTTAAGTATCATTCAAACTTTTAAGATCTTTCAGAAGTTTACCAGGCGTTAGAGAGGCAAAGTAAGTACTTCAGAGTGTTTTCTCTGTATTCACATATTTTTACCTTTTGAGAAATATATACTTAAAGTACATGTGTATTTGATTATTTCACCATATGGCATATAGCCTATGGAACTTTTGTATAAAATTAGAAATAAGGTCATATGAGTCATAAGGTCTGAAGAGTGTTAAGATAATTCTAGTATTTATAAAGAAAATCTTAAGCATTTTTCAACTAGAATAGAAAAAACAATCAGTACCTAATGTGTTTAGTGTTGAATAACTGACACTTGTTTTTTTCTAATTTACTAATTTCATGTCAATTATTTTAGCTACTTTTTGTCTTCCTTTGGGGACTTAAGGTTCATTTTTTTCATGGAAGTGAATTTTTTTACTTGGACTATTAAGGCACAAGGTTACCCTCAAAGGTTCACATTATGCCAAACTGATACAACAGATTCCTTTTACTAAGTACAAATTACAACAAAATTCCCATAACCACTGTTTTAAATTCTAGATAGTAGACTCAAGTATATCTTTCTATAATTAGCGTACCTCTTTTAAACAATGGCTGTTATGTAAAAATATTTCCCAGTGTATCACTTGACTCAATTATAGTATTATTGTTATATACTTAGCATTTAGCTCACTTTTCAACTTTCATCAATCAAATGTCACTGCCAAGAAAGCTAGAACTATTTTTAAGTTCTGAATATTTGTATAATCCTTTGGCAGTCAAAACCCCAAGTCTGATAGGTATTTTGTAGACACAATGCTTATTTAAATTATTGGGGTTCAATTTCTTATTGTCCTTAGTATTCAAATTTATTTTTTTTTCTTGTTTCTAATACAGACATATTATACTGATGTCGGTGATAAAATATGTTAATGACAAGAGGGATTCATTACTGACAGACATAATGGAAACTACTAGATTTATGTTTTACATTTAAACATAACCTTATAGATAATATACTAGCCTCCTGCATAGGGGGATTTCCTTCACACTAACTGCTCCTCCTCTTTTCCTTGGGCTACTAGTCAGTCAATATGCTTGTGAACCTGTTCAGGTGCTTGTTGATATGAAGTCTTGAAGATTTTTAGATGAAGGTGTCTTGAAATTTGCAGGCACAAAGAACTAAAGTATATCATCATATCAAATGAAGAAATGACCTTTGGAAGAAAACAAGAAAATATAAAATGGGTTATGGTTCATCTTTTCTAAAAATACAATTTTTCTATCAGCCCCAACTCCCATCTCAAATGTCCTTAAAATTGCTAACTGAAAATACTGTATTTTAAAGTACTCTTTATGCCTCTCATACTTAACTCTTACATCCTTAGTGGGTTGCTTTTTTTTTTTTTTTAAACAGAGTCTCGCTATATAGTCCTGGTTGGCCTTTTAGTCATTAGCCCAGGCTAGCCTTTAACTCATGTCACCTCTCTTGCCTCAGTTTCCCAAGTGCTGGGATTACAAGCATGTGCCACAATGTCTATATATTGTGGGTATTATAGAAATTGAAACAGGTAAAAAGACTAAAGTACAAATGCTCAAAAGTAGAAGAACATAAGTTGTTTTTCATAGAATTTCAGTGGCTGCCCTTTAAGTAACCGCTGTCCTAATCTGCAGCTACCAGCAGTGGTTAGACGGAAAGGGCAGCAGCTACTACAGGAATTCTGTTCCCTCAGGTACTGCCCTCTCAAGGCCACTAAAGGAAACTATCTAAACCCCTACCCCTTTAAAGGACTCGGGATTTAAAGGCTGAGTGAAATTCTGCTAGCTAACCTTCTCTCCTTGCTTGTGTCTCCCCAAAAACCAGCATTCTTCTGCTCCGCCCCCACTTAAGAACCCTAGCTACACGTGGTTCCTCCCTACCATTTCCTATCAGCTAATTGCTGACTCAGCCTCCTGACCGCAGGTTAATTTTACTTAAACAAATGTGACACATCTTTGCATCATTAGGCAAATATTCCACAGTATAAACAAATGTAACACATCCTAAATTAATATTCCACCACACTATCTTCTGACTCTACACTCTCCCAACTTTATGCCATTCAATGAAGCCACAGATTTCCTATTAGAATGGGCTGTTCACATACTTTTATTCCTTTAATATTTAAGAACCTAAAAGGCATAGAAAGGAGACTAGTCAAGGGAAGCATACATCAAGTTCCGCTGTATTAAAAAATGAAAAGGTCAGCCGGGCGGTGGTGGCGCACGCCTTTAATCCCAGCACTCGGGAGGCAGAGCCAGGCGGATCTCTGTGAGTTCGAGGCCAGCCTGGTCTCCATAAGCGAGTTCCAGGAAAGGCGCAAAGCTACACAGAGAAACCCTGTCTCGAAAAACCAAAAAAAAAAAAAAAGAGTCAAATATTATCCTTCAGAAAATAAAACCTAGAAAAAGCTTTTAGGAATGGAATTCTCACCCACAGGAAAAGCTCCTTTTTATTTACTTGGAAAATTCTATCATGCTCTTTATATCTCTGAAAGCTTTCCCCTAAAGATACCATGGACCATAGATGTTCTGTTTGACCCATGTTTTGTGTATCTGAATTGTCTTTCACATAGTGTTTTTAAAGAAAAAAATTAACATTTTTAGTTCATCAGACTGCTCTCTCGTTGGTATAAATCAGGCCAATTACTATTACAAACAGGTGCTTTAGCTAGATGGTGGTGGTGCACACTTTTGATCCTAGCACTTGGGAGGCAGGAGCATGTGGATCTCTTGAGTTTGAGGCCAGCCTCATCTACAGAGCAATTTCTAGAACAGCCTGGACTACACCGTCTCAAAAAAACAAAACAACAAAAAATAGGTGTTTGATTTCCCGCCCCCCATTTTTGGGGGAGGTTCTGGCCATATTCAAGGTTGCTTATCTCAAACATAAGCTAGTCTTCAAATCTTATCCTGAGACACATGGTACTATCTTTCTGTTTCTCCAACACTAAGTGCTAACACCAACCCCATCCAACTGGCTTGTTACCTGATAGAAGCTGGGGATAACTTTAATAAGCCTAAGTAAAGTTGGAAAGTCGTGGGCAAAGTGGAATTTTTTTTTAAATGTCTGTTCTGATTTGGGGGACAGAAAAGAGTTATCTTTAGGTACACAGCTGTATTTCCATGATCTAGGTTGTTGGAAGCCTGACCTCTCAGATACGCCAATCACTTCTACTTATATACATACTATAAAATGATTCATGGATTAAAAGTAAATTAAATTTAAACATACAGAGATATTGACTATATATCATACATAAATATATAGTCTCACTGAAATGGTTCTTAAACTTTGAGCCGGCATATTAAAAGCTCAAATGTGGGCTGGAGAGATGGCTCAGAGGTTAAGAGCACTGACTGCTCTTCCAGAGGTCCTGAGTTCAATTCCCAGCAACCACATGGTGGCTCACAACCATCTGTAATGAGATCTAGTGCCCTCTTCTGGCCTGCAGTCATACATGCTGTACACATAATAAATAAATCTTAAGAAAAAAAAGCTCAAATGTACTTACCATTGCTATCCATAGAACAACATATTCATCTACAAAATTATTAAAGTATTGGTCTAAAAACAAAAGACCCGGACCAACAAAGACAGTATCTTGAAGATAGAGTTCACTTTTCGTCATGTGAGCTATCTATAAAAAAGCAAATAAAATAATTTCACTATTAAGTTTTAAATGTTTTTGCTTTAATTTTCAGCACACATTTACGACATTAATTCACTATTAAGACAAGTCTATTTCATCTCATATTTGATAAAGGAATATTGAATGTACATCTCAAGTTCATGAGCAGATAGCTTATTAAAAGTCCTAATATTTAAGTTCCTTGATATCAGAAAGTTATAATTGACTATTATTGAGGAACAAAGGAATTGACTATACTATTAACTCATAGTTTTACCTGGAACACAAACAGCTATTTGTTGTAAAGGAAAACCAACATTTTGTAAGAAACTGTTTCCAGCTTTGTGGAAGGCTATAATATTTATATATCATGAATCATAAAAAAATTTCTTACCACCAATTTTTGTGCAACTTTAGCAAAGACACACCCGAACATTAAGGTATAAAGGCAAGGGTGTTTTTCAAACACATTTGTTGCAGACTTTTTATAGATCATTATTGCCAATATGATGATTAATCCTATGTGGAGTCCAGGTGACAAGACACTAGTACCCTAAGGGATAAAAGCAAAATACTTAATCACCACATTTTAACACTGCATATATTACATGGCAAACATTTTCATTTTCGGTTTTATTATAAGGATTCTAGACTAAAAATTTTATTTTGAAACTTTGTTCTTAATTTCTTCAAAAATGAAAATTAATGTCATCAAAAGGTAGTATAAAGTATGACTGATAATAAATGTAGATCTGTGAATACAGAAAAAAGATATATAACAGCAGATCATAATGTTTCACAAAAACCATGTTGAAAAGCACCAATAAATTCTCAAAGGTTAGCAGAGAAAACACCTCAAAAAATGAGTCTTTATAAGCAGATCAGAATCTGTACATCTAAATGAATTTTATAATTTGCTTTTGAATTAAAAATGATACATTAAAATTTAAGAATTAATTATGGGAGACTTTTGAAACTGTCTTGAGAGCCAATTTACAAGTGATGGGAAGATGAGAATTCCTGTAACTAAAAATACTGTATCTCCTGTTTATTACTCTTGGTAATTAAATCTTGTTCTAGCTGGTAAGTGTGAAGTTGGTCTGGTCTACACAGCAAGTTTCTGGACTTCCAGGATTACATAGAGAGACCTTGCCTCAAGAAAACAAACAAAAAATTAAACCTTGTTTTAAGTCAATAAGTCCTTTAAGGACAGAAATTTTTGAGTCATAGAATGCAACAGTTTAAAGTAATTCTTAAAAGCCATTCTAATAGTTTTGTTATAAAATGTCATCATTTGAGTAAGTACTATCTTCTTATGGTCAACTATCTTGAAGATATTATTAGACTTTTTAAAAATGGAGATATCACATTTATTTAAAAGTATCCGAAATTCTGTCTTTATTTCCCTTAAAAGTATTGACTTTTTAAAACAAATACGAATATATCTACAAATTACGATAGCATAAGCAAAGTATAAAGAACACAAAGACAGGCATATGTACTCAAGAAATGAGGTTAAAATTTAAATCAAAATCATCAGAGTACCTTTAAGTAAATTTCAGTAAAATGTCAATACAAATTTATAAGTAATAAATTCTCCCATCTATGAAACCTTTGACCTTTGGCACCTTTCCTATCATTCAATCAAGATCCCATGCTCCAATCTCCTTGCTGCTGGTTTGATCCAGGCACAAAATGAAAGAAAATGAACGGCACTGATGATGACTATGGTTATGATGTGCAACAATAAAACACTACAAGAAAGAAAAATGCTTTAAATCTAAGCTGCTTTTAAAATGCTTTTGTGTTATGTGTCTAAAATGAACTCTTCAAGATAACTGGTTTCTTTCTCCATTCTTGAGTTTGAGGTATTTGGATATCTTTTATAATGAAAATTTATTATATATTAATATTGAAAGATGATGAAAATAATGTCTTACTGCAATAGTAGATCCATTCTTCCCAACACCACCATGGAGGATCACATGGAAATAATTTGAACAGGAAAATATTGCTCCACCTACTACTCCAAGAACTGGAAAGATCTTCAGTTTTATTTCTAGAATAGGTATCTTTAGGGGTAGAGGAAACAAACAAATCATTAAGAAAATTGAGTTTCTCTCCCTACTAAATAGAAAGAAACATGACCTGGTCGTGTACAATAGGCTATCCTTTTTCGCAAAATCAAACCTCAGATTCTGCAATAAGAACTGGAACTTTTCTAGGATTGCTTTACTAACTGAAAAACAAATCCACAAATCAGTTCAGTCTGTGTAGAGGATCATAATCAAATAGTTCATTTCACAAGCCTTATCTGACTTAAACATGAAAAAGGATAGTTCACTGCAATTCAGCAGCTTCTAAAAGGCAGCATCACAGAAAAGGCAGACACAGCGGTCTGCACTCTACATGTGATGAATATCGTGTGTGCATGCAAAAAACTGTGTAGTTAAAATATCCAGGATTAAACCTCCAGCAATATATTTACCTGTTGGTCAACTGTTGCTCAAGACAACTTCCAAAGGCAGCAAAGGATTTAAAAACAGTAACAATGAATTGCTAGGTGCTATAGCTAGTGTATTTTGAAAATAGACTTTGAGAGATGATACCAAAATCTATGGACACTATAGATTAACAACTAAATGTAGAAAGCCGTCAAGTATCATAGTTTGTGAGACCAAGGTGTGTTTTCTCCTCATGCTATTGCCAAAAAACCCTGAATGAAGCAAATTTAAGATTCAGTTACAAACTGAAGCCACCCACACCTGACTTAGTGACTAGAACTGTCAGCTGCTTCTTGGTCTATGTTCAGCATCCAGTGGATTCAGTTCAACAGTAGAATATCCTTGATTGTATTGTTCAGATGGGAAGGAGTCAAAATTTCTTGAGGAAAGTATGACTACTTGAGAGTACGCTGAAAGTCTGTGTCTGAGCTTGCAGGTGTGAAGTAACTGAAGATCTGAAATAGTTAAGTGCCATAAGGAACCTTTCCATTGTTTTTAAGTAAGACTTGATTTTTAAAAATGTGTGTGTGTGTGTGTGTGTGTGTGTGCGCGCGCGTGCATGCGTGCGTGCATGTATATGCATTGAGGCAGAGGATATTTAGGGACAAATTTCAAATATATTTTATTAATTGTTTTAAAAATATTTGTTTTAGCCGGGCGGTGGTGGCGCATGCCTTTAATCCCAGCACTCGGGAGGCAGAGCCAGGCGGATCTCTGTGAGTTCGAGGCCAGCCTGGTCTCCAAAGCGAGTTCCAGGAAAGGCGCAAAGCTACACAGAGAAACCCTGTCTCCAAAAAAACCAAAAAAAAAATATTTGTTTTATGTGATAAATTTTGCCCTAGGAAAGGTAGTTTCAATAGATTTTTTTTCTCTTTTGTACTAGGAAAATAGGGACATTTTCTATGCAATAAAACATTCATTACAGGAAAAAAAGTCATGTAAATAGAGCATATAGGATATTAATATTATCAAATGAAAGAAAAAGCTTACAAAAGAGAATGAATTAACTATAACTCCAAGGATTTCTAAAGACAGGCAACAATTTACTATCTTCCGATGCACATAAAAAGCACTTAAATGTAAATTTAAACATTTAGATTTACCGTATAGTCCCACATTGTTGCTCCTCCAAATGTAGACAATATAAAGATGATCACTAAAGCTACCTGAATCTCAGTTACATCCACTCTACAGAGGAAGAACAAAGAGCAGGTAAGTGTCTGTAAACAAAGTTCTTGAACATGAACTGAGTTATCACACGCTCTATGGCACAGATGCAAAGAAATCATATAGACCTGGTTGGTTTTCAGTTTTTACGCCCATCACTAAATTCTGTATCAGCTGACTGCGCTAGGTAGAAAAGAACATTTGTTCTCACTCAGGTAAATACCAGTATAGATAGACAAAAATTACCGTATAACATGTATCAGATTGCAAGAAGTTACTGAAACTACAGAAATGAGAGGCTTATTCTCTACTTGATGTACTTGTGTAGTTTGAACTTTTCAAAAGAAGTGTTATTCTTAAAAATCACAAAAGACTCATAAAATACATAAATAATCATTATGACTTGAGGAAAAGTATTATTGTTGTTGTTGTTATTGGTAAGCATGACACATATGTGCAAGAGCATGTGGCGGTCATAGGACCACCCGAGGCACTGGGCCTCACCTTGCATCCTGGTGGAAACCAGTCTCTCTGGTATCTGCTGCTGAACATGCCAGGCTAGAGAGCCTGCAGGTTTCTGGGGTTCCCCTCTCTTCACCTCCCATCTAGCGATGGAAGCACTGTGACTACAGACAGCTGCTGCTGTGCCTGGCTTGATGTGGGACCTGGGATTTGAACTCACACACTCATACTTGCGCAACAAGCCCTTTACCCATCGAGCCATGTCCCCAGTCCTAAGGCAAATTCTTCCTCCTCCTCCTCCTCTTCTTCTTGGTGATCAGGGTTCACTTTTTTAATTACATGTTTTAATCCAATTATTTAATGTGTGTGTGTGGTGCATGCTTGTATGTATATGCCATGGAAATCAGAAAACAACCTGAGGAAGTCGCTTCTGTCTACCATGTATGTCCCAGAAATCAAACCCAGGTTATCAGGCTTGGCAGCAATCACCTTTATCCACTAAGCCATCTTGTCTGTCCCATTTTTTAAAATTTATTTTATTTTATGTGTACGGGTATTTTGCCTTCATAATATGCACCATATGTTTGCCTTGTGCCCATGAAGGCCAGAAGAGAAAGTGTCAGGTCCCTTGGAAGTAGAGTTACAAATGGTTGTGAACTGCCAAGCAGGTGCTGGAAACCAACCTGAGTCCTCTGGAAGAGCAGCCAGTGCTCTTAACTGCTGAACCATCTCTCTGGCCCACCTAAGGCAAACTCTTATACCTTTCAGTTAATTTCACTTATGAAGTAGAGAGAATTCTAACAGCTTTCGTTATTAAGTTACCAATGCCATAGCTTTTTGGTTTCTACAGACATATTTTTGCCTCATATATAGACGTGTTTCAATTTCTCTCAAACAAAGGCACTAGTCAAGCAACATGAGTCCCTCTGGTATATGCTCCAAACTGTAGAACCCTCTCTGCTCTCAGGAAGAAGGTCAGGGACTGAAAAACTAGTCTACATTGGTAATTTCTCCCTCTCTGCAGATGCGCTCTTTAACTTACTGAAGTCTAGCCTTTGGCCCCATTACTCTACCGAAACTGTTTAAACAAATGGGTTGTTTTTCCAGTGTGGGGGACTGAATCCACGTCCTTACACACGCTAGGCACTGAGCTACATCCCCAAGTGACTTTCGATTACTCAACGATTCAATTTTAGCAATTATCTTACATAATCTGTTTACAATATTTAAGATGAAACTCATTCTCTCCTTTTTGAAATGCTTTGCTGGATTCTGATTCTGTGCTCTGCTGTGACATTTTGATCTTGCTAGGTCTCTTCTCAGGCTCCCTTCTAGAACTCAGCTTCTCAACTATGGTTGCAAACCCATATGGGGCTGCTGAAAAAAATCGGCAATAGTATAAAGCTTCTGGAAGTTCTGCAACAAATAATTCAAAATCAACAAGTGATGACTCTCGGGTATTTCTGCTGTGCTCACCCAGGGTGCCTCACAGGACTTCACTGAAGCCTTGGTTCTGAACCCCAACATGCACACATAGCACTGCACGTGCCACATGGTGCTAACAGACACCGCCTGAATGCCTTGTTCAGATTCAAGACTTCTGTACATTATAAATCGCAGTACTTTTTATTGCACATAGGATGTTTCCTGCTTTTATAGGAACACAAGCAGTTTAATTACGAAAAATAGGCAATAGTTTGTTCTAATCATGTCTCAGCATGTAAGTATCAAATCAATGACTATGTTGTGTTGGAATATATGACTTTAAACATTTCTGTTTGAGTTACTGACTTGAGTCTCTCAAAAGGGCATTAGATGAAGCTTGGCTTAGGATTATGAAAGAATTTTCAGTTGTCTTAGTCAATTTTCTATTGCTGTAAAGAGACACCATATCATAGCAAATCTTATAAAGAAAAACATTTAATTGGGGCTTGCTTACATTTCAGAGGTTTAGTCCATTATCATCTTAGTGGGAAGCATGGCAAGTATGTAGGCAGACCCAGTGCTGGAGAGGACAGGAGGTGAGAGTTCGACATCTGGATTGGCAGGCAGCAGCAAGAGAGAAACAACTGGGCCTGACTTGAGCATTTGAAACCCCAAAGCCCACACCCAGTGACACACTTCCTCCAAAGAGGCCACACCTCCTCCTAATCCCTTCAAACAGTGCTACTCCCTGGTGACCAAACATTCAAATCTATAAGCCTATGGGGGTATTCTTATTCAAACCACCATAATCCACTCCTGACCCCCACAGGCTTGTAGTCATCATAATCCAAAAATGCATTCAAGTTCAACTCCAAAAGTCCCTATAGTCTGTATAGTCTCAACGCAATTTAAAAGTCCAAAGTTCAAAGTCTCTTCTGAGACTCATGACAATCTCTTAACTGTAATCCCCTATAAAATTAAAATAAAAAAGCAGATCACATACTTCCAACATACAATGGCACAGGATATACATTACCATTTCACAAAGGAGGAAAGGGAACAAGCAGAAATACTGAACCAAAGCAAAACCTAAAACTAGCTGGGCAAACTCTGCATCTCCATGTCTGATGTCAAAATGCTTTTCAGATCTCCAACTCCTTTCAGCTTTATTGACTGAACTGGTTCCACTCCCTGTTAGCAGCTCTCCTTGGCAAGTATCCGACAACTCTGGCATCTTCACCATTTTGGGGTCTCCAATACAATCCAGGCTCCACCTTCAGAGATTTCATGCAATGGCCTCTCTGAGCCTCCACACAGAAACACCTCAGTCTCAGCAGCTTTCCTTAGCTACGGAAGAAGATTCTACAACCCCTTTCTTGTATCCTTGACTCTAAAGCCAGGACCAAGTGGCTGAAGCTGCCAAGTTCTGCTTGCTGGGGCTGGAACATGGTTCTTAGTTCAATTGACATCTTCACCAACTTTCTCTTTTTGATAGTTTCCTTCACTGCCTAAGCTTGGCTGTCCTGAAACTGGATCTGTAGACCAGGATGGCACTGAGATCCACCTGTCTCTGCCTCCCCAGTGCTGGGATTAAGGCTTGTACCACCATGACTGGCCCTAAGCTTTTTTTTTTTTTTTTTAATTTCTATCCACAAGTTGGAAACGTAGCTGGGTGAGGCCTTGCCCTGAAATCACCAATCCCTTTATTCCATTTAGCATCAGACATTTCTTCAAATGTTTTATCTCATTGAGTACTGAACTTAGCTCTATTGTGCTTCCTGGTGCCCCTTCTCTCCTCAAACTGTGTATCTTATATTTTTCCTTGCTCAGCTCGCTCCTTTTTGTTATAGATTTGCATAATAATGACCACTAAAAACCAAGCAACATAGTCAATACTAGGCTGTTTTGAAATCCCTGCCAATGCCATTAATCCAAAACTCTTCAATTTAGCCTCAGGTAGACTCTTCAGACATGGGCAAAAAGCAGCTACATTCTTCATCGAAACATCACAAGAACAATCTCTAGACCACTTAATAATATTCTTCTCTGAAACCTCTTTGGCCAGGCCATTATAATCTACATTGTTCTCAGCACCATGGTCTTCCCTGGTCCTACTAATACAGTCCATTAAGTCCCACTTAAAGCATTCAGCTGCTTTCCTAATCCAAACTCCCAAAGTCCACCATTCCACCAACAAGCAACATGTTCAGGCCTGTCACAACAACACCCCACTCCTGGTACCAACTTCTGTATTAGCCAATGGTCTATTACTATGAAGAGACACCATGACCAGGGCAAGTTTTACAAAGGAAAACACTTAATTGGGGCTCACTTACAGGTTCAGAGGTTTAGTCCATTATCATAATGGCAGGTGACGGCAGCATACAGGCAGACATGGTGCCGGAGAGGTAGCTGTGAGTTTTACATTCAGATCAGGAGGCAACAGCAAGAGAAAGAGACACTGGGCCTGGCTTGAGCATTTGAAACCCAAATGTCTACTCCCTAGTGATACACTTCCTCCAACACCGCCACACCTCCTAATCTCTTCAAACAGTGCCACTCCTTGATGACCAAGCATTCCAATTCGAGAGCCTTGGGAGGCTACTGTTACTCAAACCAGCACACCAGTTATTTGTATATGGCCTTAAATATACTTCTTGCATTTTGTATTGTGTATTTATGTAAAATGACAAAAAACAACAACAACAAAAAACAAAACAAATAAATGATTGACTCTGAAAATGTTTAAGATGCTCTATGTCCTTCAGTATCAAATATCCAGTCAAGATTTATTCTTTAGGTAAAAATAAATGAGCACATTTAACTCATTAGAATGCTAATCTGCTTTTGTCTTTATTGTTTTACTTTATGTCTGGGTGTCTTGTCTGCACACATGTGTCTGTGCACCACTTGCATGCCTGGTGCCTGTGGAGGGCGCTGGATCCCCTGGAACTGGAGTTACAGATAGCTATGAGTTGTCATGGGAACCAAACCCAGGTCTGAGCCATCTCTCCAATCCCACTGCTTTTGTCTTTAATAAGTCATAAATTTTTATGTAGCTGTTTTATAATAAAATTTCTTATGATTTGTTACCAGTCAATGTTTGAGTATCCATTTTATAAGCCTATATATATAAATATTACACATAGTCATTTCTCAGGAATAAAGGGGTTATGAGTAGAAAAATAGCTTAAGCAGTCTGTTCTAGAGCATTCTTCATTCATATCTTAAAACACTAGTTCCAGAATTTTATTTGTAATTTTATATCTTCTGAACAATTTTATCTCTACTTAAGGCTATCATCTTACATGCTAAATCTGTATCTCCAATCTGCATCTTTTTCCCCTGAATTCCAAATTTTTATATCTCTCTACCTACTTTACATCTCTGCTTAGATATGAGAGGAATAATAATTTCTTAGCAAATATAATAAATGTAGGAATTCAATTTTAAAAAATGATACGGAAGAAAATTTCTCAACTGTATTATTTGGGGTGCAATTAAAAGAATAAAAGGACTTACTCTTAACACACAAATAAAAGAAAAATGTGAATAATAACACTCAGTATTTGCAACATGAACAGCAAGCAAACCCAAACTTCCAGACTACCTGGAGAAATGGCTGCAAAGGTAAACTCACTAAGAAGGAGAAATACTAACGTTTGCTAAAGACCCTATGTGTTATACAACCTATAAATTATTTCGTGCTGTTCTTTTGTTTTGAGTGTTTTCTTTGTATTGGAACAGTTGACTATCCTAGAAAAATGACCTTGGCGTCGACATTCTTACATACAGCACTTATGACTCACTATCAGTGTGGCAATATTTCAATAACAATAATAGAATTATATGTGACCTATCTGTAACTCTTAAGGGTTTTAACTAGTGACCAAAAGCAGCTAGAAAAGTGGGTAGACATTATAGAATGAACTTTCGTTAGATAGAAGTAAAGAGCATATATGAGAACTGAACTTCACCACGTTTTTAATTAAAATTATGTTAGCCCCAGGCATCTTCTCACGTCTGCTCCCCAGCCCTGAGAAGGCCAGCACTGCCACCATGCCTGGCGTTTTACTGTGTGGGTTCTGGAGGATGAACTCTGGTCTTCCTGTTTACATGACAAGCACTTTACCAACTGAGACACATCTCCAACCCTATTATAATTCTCGAGACCAGAAAAAAAAAATCTTCAGGTGGTGGTGGCGCACGCCTTTAATCCCAGCACTCAGGAGGCAGAGCCAGGCGGATCTCTTTGAGTTCGAGGCCAGCCTGGTCTACAGAGCAATGTCCAGGACAGGCACCAAAACTACACAGAGAAACCCTGTCTCGAAAAACCAAAAAAAAAAAAAAAAAAAAAAAAAGAAGAAGAAGAAGAAAGAAAAGAAAAAGAAAAAAAGAAAAAAATCTGAAAGGATTATTAAAATTGACAAAATTATGAAGTTTATGAGAAGAGAAGGAGTGAAATCAGCAAATCCTCAACAGACAGAGCAGCATTTTTTTGTCTGCACTCTTCTCCGGTGTCTCAGGAGGAGCCTCCCAAGAGAGCATCTGTCTGTCTGTATACTCTTCTCTGGTGTCTGAAGAGGAGCCTCTCAAGTCATATGTAATGGGCAATGTGCAGCTTTAGCATCTATAGGGTATGTTCTCATGTAAGCTCACCTGTCTCCCACAGCTGAGTCTCCAGATCATCTGTTGTTGGTGACTGTAATCAAGGGGGTCCCTCTATCTGGGTAGATGATAATTTAACCAAAAAAAAAAAAAAAAAAAACCAAACCATCCTTATCTGGGCATGGTGGCACATCCTTTAATCCCAGGACTTAGTAGAGGCAATTGGATCTCTATGAGTGTGAGGCCAGCCTGATCCACATAGTTAATTCCAGGCCAGTCAGAGTTACATATAAAACCGTATCAAAGGAATTTTTTTGTTTTGTTTAAAATTCCTTAAACTCAGCAACAACAACAATCCTTCCATTCAACATCATATTATTTTATGGCCAAATAGTATTTAGATTTAGATACTATATATTGTTTGAGTGCTTATTTTATTTTACTCTATCCTAACTTTGAACTAGGAAGTCTGAGAAAGTTAGAAGAAAAAAAAAATGTTGTCAAATAATGCAACTATAACACACAGGATACCAGACAGCTCTGCGTGTAGCACAGATGGACATTCCAATAAATTAGAAGAGTCTTTTGTTTTTTCGAGACAGGGTTTTTCTGTGTAGTTTTGGTGCCTGTCCTGGACATTGCTCTGTAGACCAGGCTAGCCTCAAACTCAAAGAGATCCACCTGGCTCTGCCTCCCGAGTGCTGGGATTAAAGGCGTGTGCCACCACCGCCCGGCCAATTAGAAGAGTTTTAATTACTGAACAGAGCTTGTCTACTTTAAGGTGAGCAGATGCCACTGAAGATTATAAAAATGAATTTGGTTGCATTTTAAAATGTAGAACTTAAGGAAATGCTTACCTTCCAAATCTCAGCACCCCTGAGACGTAAGTCTGCCAGTGAGCACAGTAAAACATGAACATCCCGATAAAGGAGCAGAAAAACAACAAATCAGGATGTGTTCCCAGGCGGACAGCAACCGCAGCTCCAATGGCCATAAATACTGAAAAACAAAGTTTATAATCTCAGCACTCGGGAGGCAGAGGCAGACAGATCTCTGTGAGTTCAAGGCCAGCCTGGTCTACAGAGTGAGATCCAGGACAGCCAGGGATACACAGAGAGACAAACCCTGTTTTGAGACACCAAAATAAATAAAGAAAACCAAGTATGGTGCTTTGAAAGAAAATGGTCCCCAAAGGGAGTGGCTCTATTAGAGGGTGTGGCTTTGTTGGAGTGGGTGTGGCCTTATTGCAGGAAGTGTGTGGACATCTCATAGATGCTCAAGCATGCCCAGTGTGCCAGACCACGTCCTGTTGCCTGTGGGATCAAGATCTAGTTCCCTCTCCACTCTTAGTTCCTTCTCCAGTACCATGTCTGCCTGCATGACACTGGACTAAACCTCTGAAGTCAAAAGCTAGCCTTTAAATGTTTTTCTTTTATAAGAGTTGCCATGGTCATAGTGTCTCTTCACAGAAATGGAAACCCTAACTAAGACACCAAATATTGAGGTATCCTGTTTAGAAATACAGGTTTTTTTTTTTTTGTTTTTGTTTTTTTTTTTGGTTTTTCGAGACAGGGTTTCCCTGTGTAGCTTTGCGCCTTTCGTGGAACTCACTTGGTAGCCCAGGCTGGCCTCGAACTCACAGAGATCCGCCTGGCTCTGCCTCCCAAGTGTAGAAATACAGTTTTAAGGGACATAATCCTGGCATTAAAATACAATGAATCCTTTTTTATAATGCAAAATTGAGTTGTTTGTTTTTGTGATTTACATATGGGGGATACAGAAATGCTTAAGAAAAGGACAGTAGTTCAAGACTAGCATGAACAACTTAGTGAGACCCTGTGTCAAAACAAGAAGTACAATGGACCTGGGGATGTAGCTCAGTGGTAGACCACTTGTCTAGCAAGCAGGAGACCCCAGGTTCAAGCCTCAGTATCAAAACAAGAGTAAAACACATCCAAGTGTAGGTGCTTAAGTGAGGAAGCTGCATTTCTGGGATCTTGGATAGTAGTTCACTTCATAGGCAAACTTTTATGGGGCAGTGGGATTATTCCCCAATTAAGGAGAACAAAAAGGAGGGAATTCCAGGAATGAGCTGTGATTTTCTAGGGTTACTTGCCTTTCCTGTCATTAGATGGCATTTTCAGAATGTATCATAGCATCAGATTCATGACAGAAACAGGAAATTTTGCAAGACTACTAATATGGAGATGGAATTACACTGAAGCAGAGGGCATCCAGGGGTCATCTAGGGGTCATCTAGGGATCATCTTGGTCCTTGGTTTGGGGAGTAGCTCTGGGGTTTTATCAGTCACTTTGAAGACACCATGCAATTGCTTCCTCGCTCTCTGCCTATACAGCCCACTTCATCTCCCCTCAAGAGACTGTCTTTTTAACCTTAAGAGGCTGAAGAGATCCATTCTCGATAACTACCTCCAGCTGACACTGGGCTGTCATCCCTGTATACTAAGAGAAAGGAGGGTTTTAGCCATCTGACCCAGGGGAGTTGGAGGCTCTGTGCGTAAGGGTGAGCTGGAAACCTCACAAGGTCATTTTAGCACAAAATGAACTTATGAGCATCCTTTTAAAACACACTGGGCAAAACTGTTCCCAAATATATACCTCAGAAAAACACTGACAACTCAAATAGCTCAGATCACTGAGGTTTTTATGTTGTCATTGAAAAGCAAATCACTACTTTGTTTTTTTTTAATACCCTATTTAAAAAAAAGAAAAAGAAAAGCAAATCACAGAAAAAAAAAATCAAAACTCCATGAATTTACCTGTGGAAAGAGAGTCACAGCCATGATCAAACAGTTCTCCTAAAGGAGAACAAGAGTTTGTCCTTCTGGCTTGCTTCCCATCAATGGCATCCAGTGACTGGTAGATAAAGAGTCCCAGGGCACATAAAAAGTAAGTCCAGTATGGTGCCTACAAAGAAATATGAAAAAGAGTAAGTGACAAGTAAGCTTCTGTATGAAAACATGAAGTTAAGTAACTGAGCAGCCTCAGACTCCAACCTACATTCCTTGTCCATGGCTCTTCTAATACTCCTGTACGCATAAGCTACAAGTGTCTGACATTTTTCAGAAAATCTCTGCTGTAAGTAAGACCTTCAAGGCAAACTGCAAACTGGTCTGTGTCCATTCATGACTGAGATCAGAGACTGGATTCGCTCTATCACCCATGGCAAGCAACCTGAGATCTGCTGTGGAATATTACTTTAACTAGGCAAAGACGTGTTACATTTGTTTATGCTGTATTTGTTTAATTAAATAAAGATGTGTTGCTGTTCTTGCCTGCCTAAGGCACCTGACTGGTCTAATAAAAAGCTGAACAGCCAATAGCTAGGCAGTAGAGGGATAGGCAGGCTGGTGGGCACAGAGAATAAGCAGAAGGAGGGAGAGAGAGAGAAGGGGGTTAAGGGATATGCCCACGACCAGCCAGCCAGACATGGAGTAGGACATACGGAATGAAAGAACGGTAGAAAGCCCTGATGTAAAATGTAGATGAAGAGAAACAGGTTAATTTATATAAATGGCTGCTGCCCAGCTGGGACCAAGTGGGACCGAGAAGCTTCAGTCTACAATTGGCGCCCAAACGTTTGGCAAGGATTTCCACATAAAACCTGAGAGCTTTAAAAAAAGGTCCTAGATAGCCGGGCGGTGGTGGCGCACGCCTTTAATCCCAGCACTCGGGAGGCAGAGCCAGGCGGATCTCTGTGAGTTCGAGGCCAGCCTGGTCTACAAAGCGAGTTCCAGGAAAGGCGCAAAGCTACACAGAGAAACCCTGTCTCGAAAAACCAAAAAAAAAAAAAAAAAAGGTCCTAGAATGGAGCCAAGAGCAGCTTCCTAGTTCATACCACTCATCACGGGCCATGGTACAGAGACCCATCCCCTGGCTGCTACAGGCTTCAGCAGCAACATGGAGACAGACTCCCATGGTCTCTCATGGGCCACGATACAAAGAGGCTTCTCCCAGCTGCTGCCTGCGGGCTTGGGAGCACAGATATGGGCTCAAAACCACAGGCAAGCTACTTAACACTGCTTCCCAGAATTGGGGAAGTAAGCGTGACTTGTTGGTACCTGCACCATGTTGAAAAGCCAAGAGCCAGCAGCCAGGGCTGCCGCTTTGGTCCTAGCTACACAGCTTAGTTTAAAAACTCTCCTGGTCAGAAAAGGATTAAAGATATACAATAAAACAGATTCAAATGGGAAAAACTCTTAATGGGATATAAGATGTTTAAAAATATATGTAGGCTTGGGATAGAAAAAAAAAAGGATAAAGTCCTTAAAAAAGAAATAGAGTGAAAAAAAGCCACATAAAGATGGAAAATACACAGAGAGTCTGGATACTGTATATTATTGTGTTGTCTTTTGGATTTTTAACTGCTATGAGACATTTGACTATAAAGGCTGCTAGATTAAACCAACCTATATATTTTAGAAATATCTTGATTACAAGGTTTAAGTCAGAAGATATGTTGCTTTGGAAAAGAGGTTCTGCTTTTGTTTCCACAGAAGATGAGAAGCTGTGGATTCCTTCCAGGTTAATATGGTTCCATCAAGGAAGACCCCTGAGAGGTCTCCAATGGGAGCTATGGCCCAGTTGACCCAACATCCAGAATAGCTTCAAGGCAACTGGCTGAGATGATGCAGCCTCACAGACTACTAAAGCCAAGATTTAACCATAATTCCAAAATTTCTCAGGATCCCCATAAAATTTCCAGTGTCCCCAATCAGCAGGAGGTAGTATGAAAATCTATACCCAAATTCCCAAAATATTGCTTATGAAATGTTGGTTTTTATTTAAAGGGAGTTAATTATAAATAGTTAATGGTCATAGTCAATCTCTTTCTAAAGAAAAAAGGGAGATATGATATAGAAATGATTTAAAAAAAGGTAGATTATTGAATCTACTTTAATCTAAAAACAACTGTTAATCTCAAAATACTTTATATTGGTATGGATTTTGGGTTATGGATACAAATTTAAGGTCAATTTTGTTACACTATATGTTTATTCCTACTCTTGTTTAAGGTATTATGTATATGCAGTTCATTTAAAAATGTAATATATAATTTAAAAATACAGATTAATAGTCATCTATAATAGTCAAACTTACAGCCATATTCATTAGGTTTTCTAGTTATACAAAGATATAGTTCAGTTAGATAGGCAATCTTCAAACACTTCAGAGACCTACAGAATATGATATTTAAAATGTTTTAAGAACTTAAACTTTTCTAGACAGTGAGACACGTCTGCTCCTAGCAGCACCAATTACATCAAAGAGGATGATGGGCATCAAAGAAACTCATTTTTGAGTTTGCTTACAATGTGGAAAAGGCTAGCCATTGGGGCAAGACAGTGCTCTTGCCTGGACTGCTCAACAATATATTGTATAAACTGGACATGCGGGACCCCTAGGAAGGTGACCGCTGAACCTTGCCAAACAAGGTGAGATGGCCCTTCAGGTTCCTGCTTCACAGAAAAAACTGCCAGACATTCTGCAGGACCCAGAGAAAAATGGCTGATGAACTTTGCCAATAGGTGAAACAGTCCTTCAAATTTTTTGCTTCACTGCAAAGTCTGCCAGAGACTCTAGGCCTGTAGGCTGAAGATGGATGCAACAACATTACAGAGGATCTTCGGGTGACTGTCCGGGCAGTCAGATGTCTCTGTCATTTCTAGGATTTTGGAAGTTGCTTACAATGCACTTCCTGTTTACTCAGGTAATAGTATATCCTTCTGGGGTCTTTGATGGAGTTGAAGGCTAGATAGTTATAATTATAGTTTTCCTTGGTTATGATAAAAGGTAAATTAGAAATAAAACTTTAGACTCCCAAAAATAAGATAGATATTTTAATTTTGCCAAACACAAATAGACTAGATATTGTAACTGTAATTCTTGCTTGATAACTGTCTTGTTATATGTAATTTTACTATGTTGACGTTAAAGCCTTCCTTTTTGATTAGACAGAAAAGGGAAAGTGCTGTGGGATGGTCCTTCTGTTTCCTGTGAATATGTGTTGCTACCATTGGTTAATAAAGAAGCTGCTTTGGCCTATGGTAAGACAGGATGCAGCCAGGTGGGAAACCAAAAAGAGATACAGGGCGAAGAAAGGCGGAGTCGGAGGAGATGCTGTGAGCCTCCGGGGGAGCAAGATGCAAGAGAACACAGGTAAAGCCATGAGACGTGGTGATACACAGATTAATAGAAATGGGTTAATTTAAGATGGAAGAGCTAGCTAGCAAGAAGCCTGGGCCACAGACCAAACAGTTTGTAATTAATATTAAGCCTCTGACTGGTTATTTGGGTACCAGGGGACGGGAAAGATTTATCCAGCTACAAATTTAAGTTATAAGAGCTGGTGGGTCAAGCATAAGCTAAGGCCGAGCATTCGTAACTAATAATAAGTCTCTGTGTCATGATTTGGGAGCTGGTTGGTGGCCCAAAGAAAGCCTGCTACAGAGATCCTTGAGAGAGGAAACAAAGAGGCAAATCCCTTGGCTGTCCCAGCTGACTGTAGTTCCCAGGCCACAGCACAGGAATGGGGACCTGAACGGAACCCAGGAGTTGAGAAAGGTCAAGGCAGCAAGTATGTGCACAGCAGAGTGACAGAGGAGGCAGCTGTACAGAGAGGGACAGGGTTTGTGAAAGGCTACCTTTGAGTCATTGGCTAAGAACTGACCTGTGCCTGAGTGGGACAAGATTATTAACCAAGGCCAGGGAAAGAAGTCCCAGGAAGTGAAGGTCAAACAATTCTCAGATCTCCCATGGAGCTGGGGAGAAGCCACATGCCCATCAAGTACAGCAGGAAGACCTTGTGACATGTGGGACACAGAACAGTTCTTAGAAGTGTACTACTCTGGAGCCATCAAAATTCGTCCTGGACCAGTGATTTAACAGACATCTCTAACAAAACCTAACACACAGAGTCTAAAGGATCCAATTAATTCCCCATAACTTGAGTACATCTGAGGAGAAAAAAAATCTAGCACCCCAAAATACAAACCCATAAGATTTGGCATCCAATCAGAAATTATAAAGAAGCAGAAAAATAAGACAAAGAGGAATAAAATCAATTAACAATTATATTCAAGAATATTAGAATAGGAACAGCAGGCCAGAACATTAGGTAGTTATTACAAATATGCTTCATATTTCTAAAAAAGTAGAGAAAATTTACAAAAGAAAAAATGGAAGAAAAGACTCAGAGAAACTTCTAGATAGGACCAGTATAAGTACTCTGTAAAACACATTGGGTGTGATGATTTTACATTAGATACTCAGGGTCAGTGACCTGGCAGGTGACTAAATGAAAACTGTGCAGAATAGTGCACAGGAAAAGAGACTAAAAAAGTAACTGTGAACTCGGGCACAGAGTCGCCTCTGGGGCAACAGAAAAGCACACTGTGTGTGTGTGTTTCAGAAAGAATAGACAGGAGAGTCATAAAAGTGACAGAAAACAATGACTGAGTATTTCCAAATTTTATGTAATCTATAAACCTACAAATCGAAGAACCCCAACAGAATAAAACAGTTTTAAAACCAACCAAGATGCTAGGTTGGGGGCGCACGCCTGTAATCCAGCACTCGAGATGTTAAGACAGGAGGGTCATGGGTTCAAGATTCACAGCAGGCTCTAGGCTAGCCTAGGTTATACAGCCAGCCTCTATTTACACACACACACACACACACACACACACACACACACACACACGCTCACACACGCACAACCCTACACACACACACCTACACACACACGCACACACACACCCCTACACACACAGAGACACACTCCTACACACACACAGACACACTCCTACACACACACAGACACACTCCTACACACACACACACACACATGCTCACACACACACCCCTACACACACACACACACACACACGCACACGCACACGCACACA